TTGCCTAAGGATCTGTCCAGTCTGCAATAGACTAGATGGTTTCCCCGCTTTCCCCTCCAAGATAAGTAGTTCCCTGAGTGCTTAAGATCAAACAGATCATGTTGCGCCAGAAAGTTCCGAAAAACTCCAAACGTTCCTTCAGCTCGTAGGGGTCCTCCTGATTTTTCTCCGTTTTCGATTATTTCATTAAAATCTCCCGTCAAAAACCAGGGGGAGGAGCGGTCCGAGAACGTATTGGACAAAAGATTCCAAGAGGCACATCTGTTAGCTACCTCAGGTTCACCATAGATGAAGGAGGCGTGAAACGAGACTCCTTTATGAGTTATAGTAGTATCAATGAGGTTTTTACTGGAGTGTAGAATTTGCAGAGATAATTCTTTTTTCCACAGTAAAATAAGTCCTCCACTTCCAGTATCAGTAGCTGAGACAATAAAATGAGATTCAAATCGAAGATCTTTAAGTTTATCAAGCACAACAGCATCAGCATTCTTTGTTTTCCATGAGGAACATAACATCGGGAGAGTGTTTCTTGTCGATCTCCCTAATCCGCTGGATTGTTATGGGGTTCCCCAACCCACAACAATTCCAGCTTAGCACGGCTAAGGAAGAGGAGGAGTTAGCCGGTGAAAATCCACCGGGGGGTCTCCTGATGCTGGATCATCTGCTGTCGGGGGCCGTGGTGGAAGACGCGAAGAATTCTGTCTTACCGTTCGAGCAGTGGTTCTCCTGCGGGATGTCTGTCGAGTCGTTGTTCCTCCTTGATGTGTACCATTAGCAGTACCCGGAGAAGCCTGGACACTTGTCATGATGCGTCTCCGTGAAGATGCTCCTGCAAAGGTCTTAGGACTTATTCGTAAGTCCTTAGGTTCAGCTGGTCTTCCTCTCTTCTTTCCAGTTAACTCCTTGGCAGCTTGTTGATTGCTTGATCGTGAGGTAGCGGCTGGGTTACTAGGTGGGAGCGTGATAAGTCTTTGCATATCTTGTTCCCCTTGAGTAACAGATGCTGTTGCTTGTGCTTTAATGGCAGCCTCAATAATACCCTGGGCAGTTGCCTCCATAATTTCTTGAGTATCAGTAGCAAGTACCCTCTGCTTGCGTGCTGCACTCTCAGTTGGGTCAGCACAGTTGGTATACATTCGTGTGGCACGTTGCAGGTCCTCCATAACTTCCTCAGTAGTTGGGATTGTAGGTAGAGGGGGAAAGTCATGTATCTCGAGATTTCAGTAGTTGGGATTGTAGGTAGAGGTTTATATTTACATGTTAAGAAAGTTTCAACTTTTTGAAAAATGTGGAAAGCAAACGCTGAACATCACACATGATTTCTCTTTCCATTTCCATTTACAGTCACTGTGTCGTGTGTATTTATTATATTAAAATAGAAGTCACAATTTCAATTCATGTGTGATATTTTTAGTTGGACCTTCTTAAAAATATATATCAATGTATTTTTTAACATTAATAATATATATTTTTATAACTACTTTAATCATAGTATCTTTTGATATCTTTTTATTTGAAATATAAATATACAATTTTAAGAAAACTAACAAATTAAGATTTTAACAAGATCTCAATTTTAAAAATCCTATGTTACTATTCAATAATTTCGTTATTAATAATAAAATATTATTATATATTAAGATATAATTAGTTATTGTTTATAAAATAAAAAATAAAAAATTCTATATACATTTTACTTATTTTATAATCATCATCTATCATACTAAAATAACTATTATACTTAACTAAATAAGATAAAAATATCTTAAGTTGATATATTAATAATATTTTATGTTAATATAAATATTTATTTCAAAATAATATATTATATTGGCAAAACGGGTTATTAAACTAAAAATATAATACATTTCTACAAATTAACATATATTTAAATTTTATATATACAATAATATATTATCTAAAATGAATAAACATTAACATTATTAATCTATCATACATATATTGATCCATTTAATAAATAAATATCAATCTAATAAGATAAATATATAATAAGAAACGACAAATATATGTGACGGTTATTAAGAAAATTTTAAATATATGATTAACGCTAAAAATATATATATGTAAAACATATATCTATAAATATATAAATGAAATCAAACACATGCACGGTTGTGCGGGTCAAAATCTAATATGTAATTAAAAATTGTTTAAAGTATTTAAAACTGTGGTTTTCTTCTTTTACAAAAAATTATACTCAACATACAAGCACATGCAGAAGAAAGCAAATTGAAGAAATATATTTCTTCTTTTTCTCATTCTTTTAATAAAAAGAAGACAAAAAGAAAACTCTCTCTTGTTCTTATTAGAAAGCTCTTATGATCTAAACGAAGAACCTGACAAACCTTCATATAAATATCAGCAGTATCTCCTAAGGGCTAAGGCATATTCATTTTGGTTAAACCAAAAACATTTTGAGAGAGAGAGAGAGATGGAGAATAAGAGAGGACATGTGTTGGCAGTGCCATACCCAACGCAAGGACACATCACACCAATCCGCCAATTCTGTAAACGACTCATCTCTAAAGGTCTCAAAACCACTCTCACTCTCACTACTTTTGTCTTCAACTCCATCAAACCTGACCCATCTGGTCCAATCTCCATAGCCACCATCTCTGACGGCTACGACGACCACGGTTACGACTCATCTGGCTCCATCCACGAATACCTCCAAAACTTCAAAACCTTCGGCTCCAAAACCATCGCAGACATCATCCGCAAACACGAGACAAGTGATAACCCCATCACTTGTATCGTCTATGATTCTTTCTTGCCTTGGGTATTCGACGTTGCACGAGAGTTTGGTTTAGCTGCGTCTCCTTTCTTTACGCAGTCTTGTGCTGTTAACTACCTTTACTATCTTTCTTACATAAACCATGGAAGCTTGAAGCTTCCTGTTGAAGAGATGCCTTTTCTTGAGCTTCAAGATTTGCCTTCTTTTCTATCTGTTTCTGGATCTTACCCTGCTTTCCTTGAGATGGTGCTCCAACAGTGTACAAACTTTGAAGAAGTTGATTTCGTACTCGTTAATACCTTTCAAGAGTTGGAGCTTCATGTTAGATCTCTCTTCTTACAACTTTCTCAACCATCTCGTTTTGTTGTTCATATGTCCTTATTACTATGTTTTCTGTCCTAATTTGCCTATTTTTCGTTACAGGAGAAGGAGTTATTGTCGAAAGTTTGTCGTTTGTTGACAATTGGTCCGACTGTTCCCTCAATGTACGTAGACCAAAGGATCAAATCAGACACTGACTACGATCTGAATCTCTTTGATTTGAAAGACACTACCTTCTGCACCAGCTGGCTGGACACAAGGCCACAAGGGTCGGTGGTGTATGTAGCATTTGGGAGCGTTTCTAAGCTGAACAATGTGCAGATGGAGGAGATTTCTTCAGCATTAAGAAACTTCACCTTCTTGTGGGTTGTCAGAGGTTCAGAGGAGGCAAAACTGCCTTCAGGGTTTCTTGAGACAGTGGATAAGAAGAAGAGCTTGGTCTTGAAATGGAGTCCTCAGCTTGAAGTTCTATCACACAAAGCTATCGGTTGTTTCTTGACTCACTGTGGCTGGAACTCAACTATGGAGGCATTAACCTTTGGAGTTCCCATGGTGGCTATGCCTCAGTGGACTGATCAACCAATGAACGCAAAGTACATACAAGATGTGTGGAAGGCTGGAGTTTGTGTGAAGATAGACAATGAGAGTGGGATTGCCAAGAGAGAGGAGATTGAGTTTAGCATTAAAGAAGTGATTGAAGGAGAGAGAAGCGAAGAGATGAAGGAGAATGCGAAGAAATGGAGAGACTTGGCTGTCAAGTCACTCAGTGAAGGAGGCTCTACAGATGTTAACATTGACACATTTGTGTCAACGGTCCAGAGCAAATAAGTTATCACATGAAGTAGCAAACATCTCTTCTATAGTGTCATTGTGTCAGTCCTTCATTCAGTGTAATCTTTATGTTGATTCTTCATTTGGTTTCTTCCCAATCTTGCAATGTTTTATACCAGATTGTCTTTGTTTTAATAAATTTGTTGCTTTCAGGTTTCTGTCATCACTCATCACTATTCGTTTTTCGATTTAACCACTTCGCCTTGATTCGTTTTGGCATTTCAGTTACAACGAACAGGATCTTGACTCGTTAATACCTTCCAGTAGGTTGACCTCCACGTTAGTTCATGTCATCTGCCCCCCCCCCCCCCCCCCCCC